GGAAAAAAATATAAATGAATGATATGACGAATAATGTAAATATGAATTAAATAAAAGATGCAAAGGGAATATAAGAGACAGGATTAGTAGAAGTTAGGTTAACAATGTGCGCAAATATATTAGTAATCTTAATGTATACAATTCAATACATTACGTATGTTCCGGCTCACATTTGAGCTATCTTTAGCAAATGATCGAAGTTTAAATAAATACAGTGTAAATAAGTAAACGAGAACTGTGTAATAAAAATTGTAACAAAAGAATAGTAAAAGCTTGACCAGTAGATTTTATTATTATTTATGACATTATTATTTATGATTGCAATAATGGAAAATTTTTGTACTGCATCAAATTAAGGAAATCGACACAACACGATTTAAGTAACATAAGAAAAATTATTTCTGCAAAAATATATTTTCTACAATTTCAGGATTTTAAATTATGAACGTAATTTCTAGAAATATATAACATATATCACATAGATTATAGTCTATATTCTGAATCCTCTTTTATCGATAAAAGTTCCTCTAAAAATGGCTCTTGTGAGACACTTTTAGAGACAATTTTATCAATAAAAGAGGATTCGAAATATGGATCAATATGTACATAGAATGTTTTTATTTATTGTTTTAAGCTTTCACATAATATGTCTACTTTAGAGTTAACTATTCTTATAGGAGGTTTCACGTATTCATTGCAACAACACTTCATCTCATTCACAAAGTTGAAAGATCCTAAGCGACTGTTGCAGTATGGACAGTATAACTTTCCTTTGATCCAAGATTTCTTTAAAAATAATTATCTAGATTCATACTTCATTCACAGATGTGCATATTTCAAATCTTGATAAGGAAAATATACCTGATCAATTGCATTCATAATCCAATCCGGTACATTTTCCAGAGTCATGTAAGAACAGCAATCAAATTCATTCAATTGACATTTCATATTTGCTGCATCTTGCTTCACCTCGTGATGCGCATTAAATAAAACAGAGTCACCCTTGAAAAGAGATTTACAACAATGCCTGCATCTCACTTCCATTTGTAGAAATGCAACGATACAGACAGAATATCTGAGGAATAATTATTATTATTATTACCGATTCAATTGTAATTGATGGGTGATATTTTACAAAATGTCAGGTAAAAATAATATGCATAATAAAAAAATGAAAACTTAACCATCTCGGCTTACCAAAAAAATATAGTAGCTCCACTTTAATTATTAGTTATTTTAATAATCATATATAATAATTAAAACGTACGTTTTTCCCAAAATTATATTTTATATATGTTCACATATAACTAAAATAAAAAGTATATATGTAAAATCGCAAAAAAAAAATATCGAAATCGAATTCTACAATTTTTACATTCGACCACTTGACACAATTACCACATAAGGTTTGTTTTCTGTTTCTGCACTGAACTGCTAACCTAAAACATTCCGTCTCATTCGTATGGCTCAGTGTTCAATGCGATTGACTCAGTCGATGAATAGCAGATTCAAATTTGGCCTTCGCCCCATATTGTTCTGTAATTTTTGACAGTTCATGTGGAAACTTATATTTAGATTAAGGAAAAAATTCACTTTGTGCTTAATTGCACTGGGATTAAGAGTGGAAAAAAGAATTAATAGGAAAAAAGTGGATCTGATACATTGTTAGGAGGTCCGGTAGCTACAATTATGTCTACTTGACAGAATAACAATTTAAAAAAAATTCTATCTCGCTTTTGTCAAACTTTAAATATATATCTATTTCATTTTAAGTGCAATGAGTGTACACTAGTTCAGTTACAAAAAACTATCTAAAACCAATGTACATAACGAGAGTTTTTCAACAAGAGACAAATCAACACAAGAGTCACTGGTTTTGCTTCTTACTGAATATTAGAAAAAAACAAAATGATTCGATTTGTCTTTTGGTAAATCTCCAACCTTACCAATACTGGATATTTGGAGTGTATTATCATAAATAGAAAACTAATCGTAGAAAATATAGGAACTGTAAGGAATCAATTAGATTGGTAAGAAATTAAGAATGGTTATTATAGCAAAGAATCTTGAGTTTGAGTTCTGGTTGGCTCCATTAATGTTTCTGTTCTTTTCTACATCTATCAATTAAAAAAAAAGAAAGTTTTTATCACATTTTACATAAAAGAATAAAATCAAACATGTTGGTCATTCACAAAGAAGAGAGATATTGTTTGTCTTAATAAGGTAGGATAATTCGAGAATACTTTTAAACAATTTGGTATGTATTGCTTGTCTCACTTGCTACAATAACATGATTAACATGAGAATTACATTTATATATATCATATATTACTTTTAATAGAAAGTTTGCGGAATGCAAGCAGTGGAAATATACACATCTAATTGTTATAATGCAATTGTCTTAATGCAAGATACAAGATATTTTATCATTATAACGATATACGCAATATCATAGATAATACAAGATTTGTATATATCTAAATAATAAATATATTCAATCCTCGCCTGCTGGTATCGCATCTTCTAATCTTTTAACGAATTTTACACGCAGCTCGGTCACATTATCATTCTTGAGTTGATCCTGAACAAACCAGCAGGCAATTTCCATCTGCACCATTTCACAGGCACCTCTAAGTACACCGGGCAGAACATTACAATACTTCAGATTTGAATAATTATCTGGCAATTCTACAAATTCTGTTAAAGGATTTGTCTCGAAGCATAAGGAGAATTCATCGCCAGCTGGACTCCAATTCGTGATTGATGGCGTTATGCCAAGAAATATCTTAAAACCACTCTGAATTTTTTCCGCCGTGTCCCTAAAATCGTAGCATCGACCGGAACCAGTCCGTGCCAGGAAATCTTCTATCAGTCGTATTCCAATGTTGTATCCCATTCTTTCCAACTGCTTGTTGACATCCTCTACATTTTCGTAGTCTTGAAGCAACTGGGCCACAAGTGAACCATAAGTCAAGGTGAACAGTTCAGAGTTCTGTAATTCATAAGAGCAAATCTATAACAGACATTTGGCAAAATCTATTCAAACACATTTAGCTATCAGGAATATCAGTTACAACTCCAATTTGAAATAAATACAAATCTAAGACTTGATTGTATATATAACAAGTTGATATAGTTTTCTCTTTCTTTTAATTAGCTCACTATATATAGAATAAACTTTCGGATACTAGTGATCTTAATTAATTTTATTCTAGGAGAACTCAGAATGATTTTGATAAAGATCAAAACCAATATTGAAAAGTCTAATATATATGATGAATTCAACTGCAAAAAACGTTTATCTCCTTTTGTATAGATGTACTAGATTAATTTTAATCTTAGTTTAACTTTTATTTTTTTATAATTGTAAGAATTAGAAAATAATAAATTAAATCAAGATTAAAATTAATAGACATTGATAAAAATGGTCATTAAAAGCTATTGATTTATTGCATGTATATCTTTGGCTTGTATTGACCCTGAAATTGAAATTACAGTTATCTATTAATAAGGTCAAATTTTAGAGAATGTTAGTCCTACGACTTTAATTTATTATCATTGATTTTTATGGGATGATTATTAATCAACTAAATTGTGAAAAAATATAATTTATAAAATGTATCTTAAAAATATATTCTTTAGAATACGACCATAACCTCGAGATTCTGTTTCACAATAATCTGATATTCAAAACAGACGTGTGTATGAAAATATCAAATAAATTCTGTTAACAGAAAACCAATGTTGCATAAATATCTTGTACAAAATAACAATACTTGCCACTTTTTTAGTGTCGAGTTTCGTTCCTGTTCGTGACATGTTGACAATTGACGGAAAATAGTCCTATTGTATCCTGAACGTTTGAATGATAATTATTTACATGATATGCGTCTTTAATTAAGCGTTTTAACATTAAAATAAATACAAAGTTTCGAATAAAAAATCAAAGATTGCCAATAAATTAAAATTACTTAAAATTTAATTTCTGCGCTCTGTCGATGATTTAGTTTTGCATTTATTGCAACTAGTGAATTATCTGCACCTTTCGTCTGTATTCATTTTGAACTCTGAATTCTGAAATCATCAGTGTTGTTTTGCTCTTAAAATTTCCTACATTAAAAATTAAACATTTATATATTCAGACTTTAAATAAAATAACAGAAACAACAAATAAGAAAATACGTTTAAATTAAAGCAATAAATCATAAATTGACAAATTTCAAGATTTTTCTCTCCTATTACACCTTCTTTCACGTTTTAAGAATTAAATTTACGTATGAATATATTTTAAAAATGCGTTTAAAAAATACAAAGTTAAACAATAGGCCTGTTCTTTTTAACTACATCTTTGCATTGTTCATCTTTTTTCTTTTTTCTCCATTACGAGGAGGAAAAGAAGAAAGATGAATCGTACAAAAAATAAAAAATAGATCTAATATTGAATATACAATATAATTGGGACACACACACACACACACACCACACACATACACACACACACATTGGATTTTATTATTTATCATCTTATTATCTATGCATCATTCATACATGCGCACATAATATCAGGATAGAACTCGAACTGATTTTTAAAAAAATGAAATTTGTAGATTATATTAATCTCTAAATATATTTTCATTTATTTGAAAAATTAATACATAAATATAAATATATAAATATATAAATTAATATATATATCTATTTCATTTTTGATCATAGAAAATGAACTAAGAATAAAATAAAATTATTCTTTTTCTCCTCTCCTCCTTTGTAATTTATTTTGGAGGAAATATATCTATGTGTGTTAAGTGAATAAAGATTTTAGTATACTAAAAAAAAGTAATATATATATATACTTTTTCTAAATATTACATTTCTTCCTTAAATCTGCACATAAAATTCAATAGGATTAAGGAAAGCAAGGAGAAAAGAAGTTTTGTACTATTTATTTATGATTTTTAATCTGATCATCTCTAAATTTTCAGTGAGATTTACTGCAAGTGCCTCTGACTTTACTTTCTATGCGATTGTCTTCGAATATATCTCTAATAATATCGCGTTTCGGTTTTGAATGAGCAGGTAAGCCGCGATGTAGATTTTCCGTTATCTGAATTCTGTTTATGTTGTGATTCTTGAATCCTTGGCTTACAAACTCGATATTTTCATTATCATCGATCGCTTTCATTGTAGCTAATAATTTCTCTTTATTGAAATTAATTATCTTCTTTTTATCGCTAGCTTTTACATCTGTCACTTCGATTTTTGCGTCATTATTTTGTTTAGCCTGAGAAGATATATGGACATTATTAGACAACATATCGTCATCTTCTAATGAGGTATTGATTTTATTTTTCATTTCTATATTAAAATCATTTTCATTTGATATTTTTTCATCACTGTGCCTCATTCTTGGCATTTCATCTGCGTCAAGCTTGAGATGTTCCTTCTCCAAATTGTGCTCGGATTGATCGTTCTTAGAACGGTTTATCGTAGATTTATTTTTACAAGCTTGTAAATCCTCTTCAACTTCTTTCCTTTCCGGACTCGGCAAATTTTTTATTTCTTCATACACGTTTGTGTTGTGATAAACTTTACCAGACGATATGTCAGTGTATATTGGCCTATTTTCCAAATACTTTGTTCCTTCCTCTTCTGTATAATCATTTTCAATATCTATAGAGGAGAACTCATCTCTTCCATTGGTTTCCGAGAATTGTCGCTTGTCCATCCATATTTTGCTTGAGTTCAGAGATTGCTGAGAAATCTCTACATCATCTAGAGTGTTATCAGATATCCTTTGTACCTGTGTATCTTTTAACTTGCCAATAGATTGTTCCGTGATTTCCAAAATATCATATTGTGGATGACTGACATTATTGGATTTACTAAACTGCTCTTTATACTTAGATAAATTAGTATGAAAGTTATTGTTTTTGTATTCAACGGAAGAATCCCCATTTGTATTTATCTTTTCCTCAGACTCAACGTCGGAACCGCTATCATAAAAATCATTATTCCTATGATACTGTAATACTTTTGATTTACTTTTGTACTTGTGCTTTTGAAATGTCAAGTCTTTTGTTAGATGGATGTTTAATTCTTCTTCCTCTTCTTCGTCGCTGTAATGGATACTTGTTTTTTTCATTATATCATCCAAAGTATCAGAAGTATCATCTGTGCTGTTAATTAATCTATAACAGATAACAAGAGCATAAAAGGTTTGTTATATCAATCATGTATCATCGATAAATAAGTGACATAAATTAATAAATATGCTATAATAATTAATTATATAATATCATATAGATTTCTCTGAAAATATTCTTGTGTTACATGTGTACCTTGCATATAATTCTCTAGATTTTTGCGGGGTATTGTAAAACTGAATGCAATGTTCGCTGGCATTCTCACTTTCTCCATCATCGGACGAATAATCAAATTCAGCTTTCAGTTCTCTTTGCGACTTTTGTAAATTCTGATTTTTTATTCTGTTAAATAATTTTCTCAATTTGCCACTTTCGATTTGTTCAAAATTGTTTTTCGACTCTTCTCTCTCTAATATCGTTTTATAATCTACTGATGTGACTTTTTCATCATCATGCGTTATCGTCTCTGAATCTTTCGACCGAAATCTTAAATCATCCATAGAATGAGAGTTTTTACGCATATGTGGTCTTTGCAATCGAAACTTTCGTATCTGTTGCAAGCTTGCCATTGTTTCTGATTTTAACTGATTTATAGAATGATTGCGATTAACATTATTTGTTGGTTGAGCTATTTTTTCATCATCATTAGTTTCCAATGTATCAAGTAACGGCTGCAATATTATATTAAATTCATTAAATCTTTAATATTTAATTATTTCATGCTTAATTACATAAATATTATATTCTCACCAAATTATCTTTTGCTGTACTATTTTCACTTCTTTTACTTCTACTGGACACTTTAATTGGATTAGAGATGCTGAAATATAAAAGATGTCTCTATATTTTTATATATAAAAAATTTGTTTTATATATTACTAGATGAAAAGATATGATAGACATGATTTTCATACTTGATATCTCTGAGATTTGTGAAAGAATGACTGCCTAAATTTTTCTCTTTGCTTTGATAAATTAGCAATTGACCATTACAATATAATCTTTTTTCTCTATTGTCCAACAAACATTCTAAACTTTTCAATTTCTCTGTTGTTTCCTGTAAATTTTTCTGTGTCTCTTTGTGTTTAGAAGTTTCAATATGTAATTGATGTTTCAGGCTCTTAGTTTCAAGTGCAAGTTTTCTATGTAACAACTACAAAGAAAGTATTTTATTCGTAGCTTTACAATATAATTAATATATTTTACTTCTATCTATGTAACTTTCAAAAGTAGAATTTGAATGTTACCTGTATAGTTTCTTGTTGTTGTTGCATTTTATAATTCATGTCGGATAATTGCAACTGTAATTTTTCTCTTTCTTCGAGATTTCGATCTTTACTAAGTTGTAATAGATGCTTATTCTGTGACTGCAAAGAGAAATTTTCAGAAATCCATATTATACAAATGTGTATATTACAAATAAAAACTCTAAATTTTATTATATAAAAATAATGCTATACAACTGCAAATAAATATAAAACTCACATTTACAGAATATAATTCATTTTCTTTTTCTTTCAACAAGTTGCATGTATCTTTATGCAATTCTTTTAATTTCTTATATTTTGTTTGAAGCACCCTTAATTCTTCATGATGCGAATTTATAAGTCTTGGTAGCTCGGCATTTGCTCCTTCGTAACGCCTCAATGCAGAATCTTGCTTTTTCTGCAATGCCTTTAATAATCTATTTTCGTTTGCTAGTTCCTACAAGAAAATGAATTTCGTGTTAAATCTTCAATAAAGGATAAGTGCATTCACAATCATTATCATTTACAAGCTCTTGAACAATCTTTAAAACACACATTTCTATATAACTTTTTTTATTTTGGAAACAATTTTATTTTAATTTTAAGGACTTTTAAGAACATATGAATAATCTTTCATAATTACATTAAGATGATAATGTGCATCGGCTAATTGATTTTGTAACTGTTTGAAACGAAGCATTTTTGCTGACATCACTCTTTGTCCGAGAATACTTTTATTACTAGATTTTGGTTCATCCGACAGCGATTGCTGTTTGATGCTGTCTCTATATGGTGCACCTATACATGCACATATATAACATAATAAAATATCACAAAATAACGAACATTTTAATGATTCTTTATACAAACCAAGTAGGGGGTTTAAACATCTTTTGTTTGATAAAAGTAAAGTATTCCTGCAAGGAGATAACTTTTTTGATTCCAGCGTTGAATCTTTTGAACAAGGTTTTAATTTTCTGCAAATTATATATACACGTCAGATTTAACAGATATAAAAATAAATTAATATATAAAAATAATCTAAAATGTACATATTTATACTTTATAGTATGTATTTCTCTCTATTATTACGTTACGATTTACATTGATATTCTTGAAATTTTATTTTACCTATTGACTGTTCTATGCACATTAAGTTGTACTACTGGTAAGATAGAAGCTTCAGTTTGCATTTTATATTTATACGCAGCGTATTAAAACTTGCATTGTAATTGTACGCAATTCATCTTTATATCAAGTCGGTAGAAAACTGTCAAACGCTCATTGCAGGCTAGTCGGCGACCATAACTGTTTTAAATAGTTGTCAAGGTAACATCTGCGCAAGCATTAGTAATCAATTCTTTCTTATAGTCTAATGTAAAATAAAGTAAAAATCTATAGACTAAACTAAAAAATAATGTAATAAAATTTATTTATTATTTACTGCAATCTAAATAGTATATATGATATACAGAAAATTTGGAACATTAGATATTTTAATAGCTTGTTTAATCTACCTGAACATGTTAGCAAATGATATATCAATATTACGTATATTACGTTTATGAATGTTATTTGATGAACAAGTAAAAATTATATAATATTATATAATATTGATAGAAAAAATAAACCATTCATATTACTTATACATTTATATTACACACATTTCGATTATATTTCAAGTGATATATATTACATTTTTATAAGTTTCGAGATATAAATAAAAGTACTTGGCACTCATTTTCAATCTTAAGTATGTATGTACAAATTATTCCAAAATTAATTTGTATTGCCATATCGGTTGGTTGAAATATTGATGAAATATAGATGAAATTATAAAGAAGGTTATTTATAAATTGATTACAAATGCAACATTTGTTTATTATTATTTAATGTTTGTATATACACTGAGTTATATACATACTTATAACAAATATGACTTTAATCTTATGTTTCTATCTTACATTTCACAGCATTGTAATATTTTATTATTATTTAAAATTACTTTGAATATCTTATACATTTGTTAAATTTGTTTCTCATTATGAAAGATAAGATAGTTAATTTCTAAAAAGACTAAGACTTTCATTCAGTGTCACATGATAAATATTATTTTTACCTAGATTATATTATTTTTAATTAAGCTGTTCAGCTTGATTCTTCTCTTTTTGTTCTTGATGTTTTCTCATACCTAAGTATTGAGTTTCCCACAACTTGCTATACAGAGAATTTGGTATAGATAACAACGATTCGTGTGTACCTCTTTCAACTAAATTACCCTGATCTAGAACAAGTATATCGTCAGCATCCATAACTGTTAATAAACGATGTGCGATCACTATCGAAGTCCGTTTCTCTGTTGCTTTATGCAGAGCATCAAGTATATTCTGTAAAAATATTTATTTATACATTTTAAAGAACGCAAAGATATTTAAATAATACAATAAAATACAATGTTTTGAAACTTGCATGTTCCGTAATAGAATCCAATGAGGAAGTAGCCTCATCAAAGATCAATATAGGACTGTCTTTCAAAATTGCTCTAGCAATTGCAACTCTCTGTTTTTCTCCTCCGCTTAATTTCAAGCCGCGTTCTCCTACAGGCGTGTCATATCCTTGCGGCCAATTCAATATAGAATCATGAAGATTTGCCATCTTTGCAACTTCGAAAACTTCGTCGCGCGATTTTTTCAAATTACCATAGTGCAAATTATAAAATATACTTTCGTGAAAAAGTACTGTATCCTACAATGTTTTCAACATAATATAAAAAATATTACAATATTTGCGCATAAAATAATTAATGAGATTTGAGATTTAATTATTAGAAATTATCATAAAGGACGAAATATATTAATTTTACCTGTGGCACAATTGAAATGCAATGTCTAAGATCCTCTAAATCGACATCTCGAATGTTATGACCATTAATGTAAATATCACCACTTTGTGGTTCAAAAAATCTATACAGCAATCTTACGATTGTAGTTTTGCTAAAAAGATAAAAAAGACAGTATGAATTAATCATTACATGACATTACTGATGATTATTGAATATTTATTGAATTTATTATCAGTAACTTGTGTTAAACGATTTTTATATATACCTAATACCTTACCCACAACCAGATCCTCCAACAATAGCAATCTTCTTGCCACTAGGTATAGTGAAAGATATATCTTTAAAAATAGGTTTCCCTTCAACATATTGAAAATTTACGTTCCTAAATTGTATTTCCGATGAATCTGGTGTCACGTAAAATCTTAATGCATTTTCTTTTGACTGTCAATAAAAATCCGAGAAATAATTTAATTATTTGTAAAGTATATATTATTTAAATTATTTAATATAAATAAATATCAATATTTTACATTCAAATTATCTTACTTTGATTGCAGTGTCTGTTGTCATAAGAGTAAACATGATTTGCATGTCAATAAAAGCTTGTCTTACTTCTCGATAAACAGAGCCTAAGAAGCCTAGAGGAACTGAAAGTTGGAATAATAAGGCGTTCACCATAACTAAATCACCGACAGTCATAGTACCTACACATAAAAAATAAAAATTTAACAAACGTTAATTTTTTATAAATATTAATTCTATAATTCAATATTAATTAAAGTAACAATTGTAAACGCAATTACCATTTACTATATTTTGTGCTGCCAGTACCATAATAAGACTCAGCGCACTACTGAATATAGCATTTTGTCCAAAATTCAACATCGCTAAGCTCGTGCTAGTTTTGAGAGATGATGTTTCGTATTTTTTTAAAGATTCATCGTATCTTTCTGCTTCAAATTTCTCATTGTTAAAATACTAAAACAAGAAATATACATACATATATACATACATACACACATACATACATACACACATACATACATATATAAATATAAATATTTGGATGTGTATGTGTATCTTTTTAAAACAAATCTGGAAATGAAATTCATGTTTTACTAACCTTTACTGTTTCGTAATTGATGAGCGAATCTATTGCTTTATTGCCTGCTTCATTTTCCGCTTTATTCATACGTATTCTAAATTTGGTACGCCACTGTGTAACAGCCAATGTGAACACGGTATAAATACCGACGCAACCTAATGCTACGGCTGAGTATTCCGGTCCACATTTTATCCCCAAAATTGCACTAACTAATGCTAGCTCAAATACTGTAGGCACAATATTAAATACCATTGCATTTAAAACAAAATTAATACCGCGGCTGCCACGATCGATTGTCTGAAAATAGAATGAACATTTTTTAAGTTGTAATACATAATCTTTTTAATTTTAATAGAAAATAATAAAAGATGCTAAACTCGTTTGAATATTACCTTCGATAAAGCACCGGTCTGTCTATTTAAATGAAAAGCCATATCAAGATTATGCAAATGTATAAATACATTTTTTGCTATTTTACGGATGGAGTGCTGTGCGACTTTCGCAAAAACCGCATTTCTAAGTTCACTGAAACCAGCAGCTCCAGCCCGTGCTATTCCATCTGCAAAAAAAATTATTCTGAAATTATATAAAATTACGGACGAAAATTTTTTTAAATATTAAAATATTAAGATATTTTGAAATAAGGCATTTTTACATCCTACAAGTAGCGATGTTGCTACAGTCGCAACTGTTGCAGGTGCGGTTGTTAAATCCATTACAGCACCACCACCCATTGTTGCAGTATGGACATTTAAAATATCTACCGCATATTTGAAAATAAATGGTACAAGAACATTTAAGACTTTAGCGCCCACGAGTAAACCTACTGCTATTTTCACTCGTTTCCGTATTTCTGGATCATCCTACAAAAATATGTAATATATAATATTACATATATATATATCGCTCACAAATTATAAATAATGCAATATTATTTACTTCTGGCCAAATATATCTGAGCATGGCTTTTAACATATCCGTACTAGTCACTGATGATTTATTATGTAAATCAAGCGCATCTCTGTTCAGACCAGAGACACCAGGATGGAAACAATTTCTTTTTTGTTTGGCCAGGTTTTGCTCCAGTTAATCCAGTAACAACTGATTCAAATTTCACTGGCGGCACAACAGACTTGGATTGTGGCACATTCTTCTTTTTCTGAGCACGATCAATTACATTGCCACTGCAACACTATGAAATACATAAGAAGATTAGTTCTTCATTTATAGTCTGTATGCCAATATAAGTGTGATAATATGTATATGAATATTAATATAAATACGTTTTGACTAATTACAATTTTAAAGAAATAATTAATGTATAAAACCAAATGAGAAACTGATTATACCTTTTATTTAAAAAAAATTATTAATATTTTGGGAAATATTTATATATATGTTGCAATAAGTATAAAAAATTTAGAAACATTTTAATCATTATTTTTATTCAGTTATTATAATTTGCAAAAAGATATTTTATATCTAATCAGATTATATATACATATATATAAAAAATACATTACATATTTTTATAACATTATACGCATTATTAAAATATTTAATGTGGTACAGCTTCTCCTATTTTTTTCATACAACTAAATGCCGTATCCAAGATATTAATATACTCTACAACGAGATTAATCGCGATCAAAAAGCTCGGACTTTTAAGTTTTACATTTTTCATATCATTTAAAATGCATGTATATTCTATTTTCTTCAAGTTTAAAATATTTATTCCTAACTTATTAATTGTGCACCATTCATCAGTATCAAAAGTTTCACCATATATCTTCAATTTCCAACAATTCTTCTCCAATTTTGTACTCAATATAAATAGCGTTATTGTTGCATTATAATTCAAGCCGTCACGAGTAAATGACATGCTCCTATGAAAACTATTGAATATGATAAAATCTAATTTAGTCTGTGAAATATCAAAACATTTCTTTATATCAGAAATGTCAAACTGTATTTCATCTAGTGGATTACATGAAATAAAAAATCCATAATCAATATACAACTTGAGACTGTCATGCGCGCCATAATTAATAAACACTTGTGTCTCTGCATCAAATGGCTTTAAAGTAATAATTTGATAAAACTGATCTTGATAATCATCTGTGACAATAGATACTTTAATAGCAGTATTCACATCATGATTAAATAAATCTAAGAAAGGCGCTAGAGCCAAATTATTAGGCTGTTTTATGTTACATATGTTTTCCTTGCATAATTTAGTATCTATATATACCGCTCTTGTATTGACAACGTAGTAGGCCCATTTATATTTTGCAAATGTTATTATCTTTTGTAAATGTATGCCACAGTGAGAACAATAGCTTTTATTAATATCCAGACATTTTACAGTTTTCATTAATAATGAGAAATTTTTCTGCAACTTATGTGCCTGATGAAGAGAATGCAAAATAAAGTTTGGTAACATTGCTTTCTCTTTGTTGGAACAAAAATCTGGATTTGTAAAAGATTGTGGTAATGTTTTCAAATAAAGGTACCACTTAGACTTTGTCTCTAAATGTACCTCATATACAAGAAATGTTGCAAGTATGCATTGAGGATTAAAACTATCAGTAGTATTACATAAGAATAAAGATTTAATATCACTTTGTGATAAGACATCTGTTGTTATCAATATCGAAAGTGGTAATTGAATCAATACTTCATTTTTTTCTATATGCTTTAATGTTTTCAAACCTCTACCTGAGAAAGGAAAATACTCTGGTATCAAATAACGAATTGACACACAATTCTCATTAAGAAGCCAAGATTTTAAACATATCAAAGAATCATCAGTATTCTCATTTGATTTTACAAAATTAAGCTTCTTCCTTTGACGGCGCTTCCTTGATGTTCGCCCCATTGCATCTATGCAGATATTATCTATATCTGTAGAAGCAGTAACAATAATATTTATTGTAAATAAATTATCTATATCTTTAAATTAGTTACACTTATTATGTTTTATGTTGCATTACATTTGGATATTAAAATTTCTTTGTATATGTAAAAATCTTTCGAAACTAAATATTGTATAACATTGTATAAAATCAAGAAAAATCTATATAATAAAATATACTATATGTATGTAAATAAATAAATATGTGTGTGTATATATATATATATAATAATAAAAAAACACACACACACAACCCCAACACACACACACACACACACACACACACACACATATATAATACACGTGTTACATTACAAAATTACATGTGACAAATAACCGAAAATTGTAATCTACTGTAATGCAACGTCCGTGTTACAACATAATTGTGTTGGATGTATTACCCTGACGCCGAGAAGAGGAAACATAGAATTACGGCCGACAACGTGGAATCTATTAGATAAAATTAATTGTCTTGTTACACTGCTGCTGTACATGTTCCTCATTGTATTCCACAGCTTCTTGTCGTACGGCATTTCGCGTAGCAGACGACCGCACAATATACCCAACATTCTTTTTTTTTTTCTTCTACAATTTCCTTTCCTGTATTAAATAAATACTAAAAGAACATCATTACGACCGATATACATATACACCATGTTGTGGCGATCATGTAATCGTATCATAACCATAATCCACTTGAGAGATCGTGCGATAAAAATCTCATCAGAGCATTCTACGCATGTACAAATACATTATGATATGATTGTCGCTACGTTGCCAATTGGTCAGTTAAGTTTTGTATTTATGATACTAGAAATCAATTTAAGATCTTGGACAGAGAAAAAAATTGATCAATATTAATGGCATTTCGATCAATTGATCAATACTCAATGCGATTGAGTCAATGAGCGATGTGATCAATTTTTCCTCCGTTCGAAATATAGGATCGATTTCTAATATTGTGAATACAAGCTTTAAACATTAAGTCTCATTTACATCGGCAGTATCATTTTATTCTTGTTTAACGTTCGGTGAACAACAAAGATAAATGATACATGCGACGTTTCTGAACTCAATCCTGGGTCGTAAATTTCAAACAAGGTTTAAAAAGTTAACTTTAAGTTTAAATACTGCTAATTTAAAATTTATTTTAGAGTTTCAGCATTCTAATATTAGGATTTTTATGTTAAAATTATCTTTTGTCAATAGTTGTCGCAGAAGATCTGGAAGATCTCATATTTTTTTTATTTATGTATCAATATTATAATATATACTGATGTAAATGCAAATAAGATATATTATTATATAATATTTTACAGCAAATATTATTATAAAGTATAGGAAAATATAGGAAAATATTTTAATATAAATTAAAACAGAATATATTAAAGTCCAAATGATTCTTATAAGATAACTGCCTTTAATAATGCTATAGTCGATGCTTTTAAATGTCATCACGAGTGTAGAGTGTTGCATTCCAGTCTCATAAATACGCTTTGAACAACTCTTTAGCTGTGTACCATATTTCTTTTATTTAGTTTAATCCGTTCAACATTAGTAAGTATCTTGAAATCCCATAAAAAAATTTGTTACTCTTTTTTATGGGATTTTTTATGATTATTGTGTATACTGTTAACTTTACTATGTATAAATGATCTGACCTACTTTTACATTACAAATAAGAAAGAATTGATATTTTTTTCTAATTAATAAACATATGTAATTCCTTTCTTTCTTGAATTTAAAAAGATCTTTCAAAAATTAGAAAGTTGCATTTTAAAAAATTTTTGCTTGCTAACCAATGAAATTTTATGTTTAGCATAAATTGATTTAAGTAAATTTTTCAAATATTAACATTGGTACTAACTAGCGAAAGTTTTCACAAGCTTTCAATTTAATATTAATATATTTTATATTAATATATTTTTAATATTGATATATCCTTTTATTAAAATATCTGTGTGATATTGCATGAGAAATTTTTTTGGAAAGTTAGGTCAGAAGAGAAAGTTTTAATGATTCACATATCTCTTTTGTGAAGCCCTGAATATATGGACATGTAATTGCTTAATTACACCATATTTAAATTTTTCTTTTTATTTAAAATCTATTCTCATATAAATCTTTTCTCAGTTGAATTGGTATATATTTTTGTATTTAAAATGAAATACATATAAATTTGAAATTTGATAAAAGTAAGAAAGTTTTAACAATAGTATAAAAAAACCTTTAATATTATATTTGAGAGTCTATATCTAATTGATTATAGATTATATTAAGCTATTGTCAATGTTAAATTTATAAATCATGATTTTATCAATTGATAATTAACTTTTGGAAATAGGAAATGATAAACTAGTTACAATACTTGTATTTGCTTGACAATTCTGATCTTTTGAGTGATATTGTATTTTTTATAGAATATCTATTGCAGTTGTTTAGCAAGTAAGATGTCTGTGAATACAGCTATGTTCAGGCTTTGGAGAAGAAGTAATCCTGTTATCATACATTTATGGAAGTTACATAAAACACTTCAAGTCCAGAGAACAGTTTGCATTTCCTCACAGAACAGATTCTATCTTAACAATATTAATCGAGCTGAAAACAAAGTAACAGTGAATCAGAAAACAGATTGGAATAAAACTATGTCAGAAGCAGAGAAGATTGTCGGTTATCCAACATCTTTTTTAAGTTTACGGTGGCTGTTAAGCGATGAGATTGCTAATGTTGCATTGCACTTGAGAAAGCTGGTTGGATCAAATCATCCCGTGTTAAAAACAGCCAAGTAAATATCATAACAATACTGCCTTAGGGATAGAAATTTCATTTTAGTTTTTTATAATAGGAGCATTATTTACAATGGTCGTAACACACAGGCGTTTGGTCTCATTGTACTGTTGATTTCTAAAGCTGCTGGTCACTTGAATGCAAATCCGATAGAGGAGGATAAAGCTGCAGGTGTATTACATAGGTATAATATGTGTGTGTGTGTGTGTGTATATATATATATATATAAATTTGAATATTTTGTTGATTATTTATGCAAAAATATTTATTTCGAAAAAATAAATATTAAATATGGTATATTTTAGTCAAAGAGCATTAGCTGAAATTACAGAAATGATACGTACTAGCAATTTAATACATAGAGGTCTGGTAAATATAAATATAGATGGATCTAGGGAATCTTCAGAGTTGAATAATATGACTTTTGGCAATAAAATAGCATTGTTGTGTGGTGATTATTTGCTTAGTAATACATGTACCGAATTGGCAGCTCTTAAAAATCAGGATGTAAGTATTTGTTCATAGTAAATACTTATATTATTATCTCTTAAAAAAGAAGACTATTGTTTCTTTTATTTTTTAAATCTGATTTTGTAATTTTAAAAAAATATTTTTTTCAGCTTGTATTTTTAATATCAAGTGCAGTAAGAGATTTGTGCCAAGTAGAATTTGTAGCACGTAGAGATCATCAAAATTTTCCCATACCATCTGTACCATCTAAAGATCGTACAGACTATGCACTGAAAGAATGGACGCTTTTAAATGTTTATGGTGCTGGATCGTTGCTTGGGAAAAGCTGTCAAGGAACATTAAAATTAGCTGACCATAGCAAAGAAATCGAGGAGAAAGGTTACGAATTTGGCAAGCATTTAGCTTTAGCTTGGCAGGTAGTATATCTTAATTAATAATAAAATATGTATTAAATTTAATTTTTACGATAATTTTATATAACATTGGTGATATAAAATAATTTTATATAACATTGGTGATATAAAATAATTTTATATAATTTTTACAGGCTTCTTTAGACTTGGGTTTGTGCATCAATAAGGATAAGGGGATTTTACATAATTTATGTGCTGCTCCGATTATGTTCCATGTGGAACATGACCCATCAATTTTAACAGAGCTTGATAAAGGATTGGAATCAGTTGAAAACGTTGACTATTTAAAGGTTTAAAGAAAGATAATATTTGATTAGATCTATGCATAATTGATTTAATTACTGTCTTTTAGAGTTCCAATGAATTATCTAATAAATTTATGTTTATAAGTAATGGATGATATTCTATGCTTATAGGTACTTGAAATTGTCGCAGCTGGTCCTGGCATTGGCTTAACTAAAGAACTTGTAAAGGAACAGTCACAAAAAGCAATGGAAATCTTAAATGTATTTAAGGAAAGTGATGCCAGAAAAGCGTTATCTAATATTATTGTTGCTATAGGTGATTTTTAACAAAAACTGTATTTTTATTGTTTATTTTATTGTTCATTAATTTCTCTATAGAATTATATTTTTTATTTGTATATAATAAGCGAAATTATATAGGAAAGGAATTCAAGATATGGGTTGAAAGATAAAAAAATGGGAGTTATATTTTATATATATATATATTTTATATTTTATAAATAATATTTTATATGAAATAATTATATAAGATATAGATAATATTTTACACATTTACATATATTTTTGATACGGAAAACGGATATATTTATATGAGAATGTTGCTCTCTCTTTATATTGTATATTTTTACATATTTTCTAATGTAAAAACTGATATTAAATTATTTATTATAAATATAATGTATTATTTTTAATACTTGCAATCGCTTAATCTTTTTTGACCAATTTCTTTTTTGTTAATTTATTACGCAAAATATACGTACGATATATGCGGATATTTTGTTTCTTTTTTTTTTAAATTAAAAAATTTCATTAGTAATTGATGTTAGATGGCGTCATAATCGCGATTATAAGTTAGGTTATCCTGTCAATCGCTCGTCCTGTCATTGATTAAAAAATTTATATATTTTTATATGTTCTGCTTTTAATTTAATGTAGAACGATGACAGAAATAATTGAATTACGGCCTGACAAAAGTTTGATGAACTCGGCCTTTGAAAAGTATCAATTTTCTAGCGAAGTCATTCCTATAATTTCTGAAAACAAACTAAAAAGTCGTAAGTATACAAAGTATTGTATATATAAAACAAGTTTTTTAATTCATCGATTGATTAATCGTATAATGCACAAATGCTGTTTTTATAGAGCAAAATTGCATTTGGGCATAATGCGATTTATTAATCGATGAATTAAAAAACTCGCCTATACATGCACAATTCTTTAGCATATAACCAAAAGAAGAGAGAACATACAGATGTCTTTAATAAAAAAATAATATTTAATAATAATATTTTAGATGTATATAGATTAGAGTCAAATCATAATCAGGAATCTTGGTTGGAAGCAAGGCTATTTGCTTTTCACAATCATTTATTTAATAATGTATATGATATGTCATGCTGGTTTATTGATGAAACTTCAGCTGTTTGGCGGCTAGATAAGGAGGGTTCTTTGGACCAAGTATACAAATTACACACAGATACAGACTTATCAAAAATAATATATAATCCATCAATTGGATTTACCTCGAATAATATTCTGGTAATCTCTGATGGTGGTGAAAATCTACATATGCTGATAACGAGTACAGGAGAAAGCAAAAAATATTTTCTAATGAATTCTATAGAACCTGGAATCATCATGAATGTTCAATATGTAGAAAAGAGCTCGAAAATTGTTGTAATCATGTGCACTATTGCTGTAGATGATAATCAGAAGAAATATACACAACTTATATTGTTATCTTATAACTTGGAGTATGTAGAAGATAAAATAGGAAATATTTATTGTATAGATAAGCAGATATTGAAAGTACAAGGTACTGTGGATTATGCTTATTTGGAAAAAAATGGCAACTATTTACATTCTATTTGTCAAGATAATATTAATTTTGAGAAAAACGACACACAAGAAACTGAAACTGAAGTAAAACTGCCAAATTCGCAGATAAAGATTCCAAATTATCATTGGTCACAAGATGAAGAGTCGCTTACCATTTGGGTTAAGATACCAAAACAATACAACAATAAACAACCTAAAATAAATGTTAAACCATTAGAATTGTCTGTTACAATAGATAATGAAATATTGATACAAGGAGAGTGCCAATATAGATTAGAAGAAAATATGGCAACTTGGAGGCAAAAGGAAGATATATTGCAAATTGATCTAAGTAAATATGAAAGTGGATTAATGTGGAGTGAGTTAATAAAAAATGATACAGGAGGCGAATATTTACCCAATGAGACTCTCTCTGCAGAAATTCATGAGAAGTACTTTTTCTTATGATCTTTTATACAAACGTACATAGCTTTAATTCCAGTAATATTAGTGCGACATTTCACATCTTATATAGTATTTAATTACTTTATTTTATATTATATTTCAATCTTACAATAATATATCACTTATATATAGGTTAGCACACTTATGTACAGATCAACAAGATGTTAGAGGAGATCAACCTTGTGTGGGATTCAATGTTGAACAATTAGAAGAGTGTGATTTAGAAGGAAAAGATAATTTTTTACAAAGGATTAATCTTCTCACACAAGCAACCACGCATCTGGCTAGATTGGGAAGCAATAATCACGTATTGTTTACATGTAAAAGAAAACATGGACAAATGGTATGCCTGAGATGTGATCATGACGCTTGCGTTTGGATAATAGGCAATGCAGATGATAATACTCAATGGAACCTAAAACATGTCCATAGTTTTCCCGGATTTGGCTATGTTGAAGCTAGCAAAACTAATAAAAAATTTTGTGTGTCTCCAATTGGTAAGACAATAGAAATGGTTTTTAATATATTTCTCTGATATTTTGTTTAATAATGTAATTATTTTTTTTCGTAGATGGTTCATATATAGCTATAATAGAACATGCGAGACATGTATTCCTATATGAGAAACCTGATATTGGAGAGAAAATTGCCAAACAAAGAATCGTGGACCTTGATTGTCAAGCATCTCCCATTATGGGTGTCGTAGCTACAAATAAATATTTGATTGTACTTTCAAAAGATAAATTATATCGTTTACAGATTTGTACATGATAATTATGTTGTCTCCAATTATTACCGAGAATAATTTTTTATCCTATAAGTTTTATTTCTTTTTTTGATTGAAATTCAGATTATTATTTTTTAATGAAAATAATTTTTATTAATTAATTATATAGTCATCATTGTTTTCCTATATTTCTATATTCATTTCCTAATGATCTATTGGCTTATGGATTCCTCGTTCGCGCGATTTCTTTGTAAAGAACGCGATAAGATGATTTAGACGGCTTTCACAGTGTCAAAATTTTTGTCTTTTAAATCGTTTTGCAACGATCAGAACGAATAATGTAAAAGAAGAAAAGTGAAAATCCTAGTGAAAAAAGTAAAAAAATTACATGCTCAGTATCCAGATCTGTATAAATGTGATCTTTATAAATGTGCTTAGTTGCACTTATATTTTTTGCACTTAAAATGAAACAGACATAAAGGCTTGTCCTTTTTCGAATTTCTTGCATGATCTAGTCTTCCTCTTTATGTTAGAGAAAAAAAAAGAAAAGATGAATGATATTGATGAAAGATGCAAGATGTGTTTGACTAAAAAGAACAGGCCTACATAATTAGACTTTAGAGAGAAAAGGAAGAAAGATATTGCAAAGAATGCTTGTATCAATTAGCCTATCCTTTTTTCTTAAATAAAATATCAAGAAGTGACAGCTGTGTATTATTTCTTTCTGTAGACTATGCGTTGTTATTCACATGCGAGCCCTTCTCTCTAGGCGACTCTAGGTTATTTCGAAGTGGTTTACGATCTTCAAGCATATAGCGACCATGTCACCAGTGCGAGAAACATTGCGCGATTCCAGTGGCGATTCAGGTAAGTATTATCAGTGAATTTGCTTGTATTGTCCCTCCGCACGGATATGTCGCAATTTCTAAAATATTGATATAATATTTACGATATTAAATGGAACAGTTTGTTTGACGCCAATTTCATTTGAGGTTATGTCTTTATCACGGTAACGATTTGATCTTTCGAATATATACATTCATAATTTTAACGAATCTCGTTATTATTTACCGTTTTATTTATTGTAAGCTCGTTTTTTATTGCTGCACTGAACCATTAAAATTTTCTTTCTCATATATATTTGTTTTATCTTAAATAGAAGTGTAGGTTAGTTTGGCTATAAAAACAAATATATTTACATATTCGTTTAAAAATTTGACATAATGTGTAGTAGAGGAAATCGAAGATATATACAATTCTGCATACATAAATATTAAATTATGTTAAAAGTAATATCTTTTTTTGTCGGATACTAACAGCCCCCTAAAGATAAAATGTTCTTTATGTTAATAACATCACTATATCATATTTTTATGTCTTCATTCTTGTTAATTCTTTCGTTACATCCTATTAATGATAATGTAATAATTGCAAATCGCAAAACACATGATTCGAATTTAACAGACAGTAATATGGGATGATCTATTGTGAAGTATTAGTAATTTATTCACATTAAAAGTTCTTCAATATATCCAAATTTTGAAATCTATTGTGAAGAATTTATTAATTTATGAAAATATAATTAAATGTGTATAAATTTGTTTTTTAGGTTCAGAGTCTGATAATGCTTCTGCATCATCAAGATCAAGTCGTAGTGGCAGCCGAGCGTCACAGGTTCCCGCACAAACATTGGGTAATGCTAGGAGCGAGCATTCCGAGGATGAAAACGGAGCGCCGGCCTCGCCTACATCAAACGTTAGCGGCAGCCGTGCCTCGAGGTCTACCAGTCACAGTCCGGTCGGATCGAATAAGTTAGATGGCAGCCGCAGGTCAGAAAGCCCATCATCTCCAGTTGGAACGGGTTCGAGACGTTCAAGTGTCGGTTCCATCCAAAGCGAGAAGTCTGTGGATTCTCGACGATCCAGAAGCGAGAAATCTGGTTCTCCGAGATCAAGGAGTGGAAAATCTGGTTCTCCACGATCCAGGAGTGGTACACCAAAATCGGTAGCTTCCAACAGCTCGGCGGACTCCCGAAAGTCTCCCCGATCGCGTTCGCAATCTCCGCATGGAAAGTCTCCCCGATCGCGTTCGCAATCTCCGCACGGAAGTGTGCGCTCCTCTAGTCCGAAATCACCCGTCAGCTCGAGATCACATTCAGAAGCTAGATCAACAGAGAGAAAGTCCAAGACACCGGCCTCCCCTACTTCCAATGCCTCCGATTCACCAAAAAGTCGTAGATCTCGAAGCGTATCTTCTCAAAGAAGTAACAAATCAGCAGGTTCCGCAAGTCCCGCGGAAAGACGCTCGAATTCTTCTACGTCTTCGAGGAAGTTTGACGAATCGACAGAGAGAGCAGGTTCTGAAAAATCTGACAAGAGATCAAGGTCCAAAAGTCCCAAAAACGATAAGAGCGATAATGAATCAAATAGATCCTTCAAACAGGCAGGTTTGTGCTACTCCATTTTATTATAATTAAATATAATATTCAGATTTTCTTCTTAATAAGTTAGAAAATGCTGTCTAATGTTGAAAATTTTTTCTCGAATAGACAACGATCAGAGTCCAAAATCTGACGAAAGTGACGAGGAAGGGCGATCGAAGCATAAGCGGCAACACAGCGGTTCCGGTTCAGATGTGGAGAAAACTGTAAAACGGTCAAAAGCATTGATAAATTCAGATTCTGAAAACGAGACAGCTGATAAGGAAAATAGCGTTGCACCAACCGCGGATGCACTGTTCGGCGATGCAAGTGATATTAGCACGGATGAGGAAAAGGATAAGAAGGAAGAAGAAAAAGAACGGAGTCGCAGTCGGAGCAAGAGTAGAAGTAAAAGTCGTAGTAGAAGCAAAAGTAAGAGCAGAAGTCGAAGTAGAAGTAGGAGTCATAGCCGTGGCAGATCCGAAAGCGGTGGAGAAGGTCCGAGTCATCGAGTTGTTATTGAAGACGTAAGTTAACGAGAAATCAATAATCTTAAATTCTTTTTGTAATTTTAGAATTTCACTAATTTTAAATGTACAACAGATTTTGAGGATCCATATGAATATTTTAATATATATTAACTGTATTTTATAGGAAGAGGATAAAGATAAGGAAGAAGAACCAGAGCCGCCTCCAGAAACTAGAATTGATGTGGAAATTCCGAAAATTACTACCGATCTCGGACGCGAGATTCACTTTGTGAAATTACCAAATTTTTTGTCTGTTGAGACAAGACCATTTGATCACGAAACCTACGAGGATGAAATCGATGAGGAAGAAACTCTTGATGAGGAAGGTCGTGCTCGATTGAAACTTAAAGTTGAAAATACGTTGAGGTGGAAGGAATCTTTTAACGATGAGGGCAAAATGGTGAAGCAGAGTAATGCGAGATTCGTAAAATGGTCGGACGGCAGCATGTCGTTACATCTGGGTTCAGAAATTTTTGATGTATACAAACAGCCGTTACAAGGCGATCACAACCATCTTTATATTCGTCAAGGTACTGGTCTACAGGGTCAAGCAGTATTTCGAACAAAGCTAACATTCCGACCGCATTCCACGGAATCGTTCACGCACAGGAAGATGACAATGTCTCTGGCCGATAGATCGCAAAAGACTTCCGGTATTAAAGTTCTTTCTCAAGTAGGAATGAATCCAGATCAGAATAGATATGAAATGATAAAGGTATAATTTTTACACAATATTAAAATTGATTATCACATTATTATGTTTCAATATTTTTTTTCATTAATATCCTTTTTTTTTTTTCAGAAAGAGGAAGAAAAATTACGTATGGCTATGCGAGTCCAGAACAAAACGAAGAAGAATACTAGTGGTATTAGGAATACTAACCGTACTACTGGAGCATACAGTGGAGATACTTATCATGACGATGGTTCCGATGACGAGGGTGCCATTTCTTTGGCAGCTATAAAAAATAAATATAAAAAGGGAGCTGCAGCGATTCCTTCTAAAGGTTGCTTAATATTTTCTTCATTATTTTAAGATGTTTTTTATGTTTCACATTAACACACATACATATGCAATCTTAATATCTTTACAATGTATTAAAATTGTTTTTAATTTTTTTATATGTAGCATCTTTATGTTTCTTATACATGTTATATTAAGTTAATTTGTTTTGTCCACTGGGATCGCGATGTGAAAAATGTTTTGTTTCAGCAGCATCAAATATTTATTCTTCAGACGAAGAAGGTTCAGACATTGAAACACATAGGCCTAAAAAGAATATTAAAGGGAAGGTACTTAAAGATTCAGACGAAGAATCCAATTCCGAAAGTTCTGCAGGTAGCGGTGGAGACGACAATCAGGCTGACGATGCAAGTGATTGAGAATGTATATATAATTGAAAATTTAGTAAATAAATTTTTTTTATGACGTAATATATGATGTACGATTATGGCACAGAATGCAAATAGCGTTAAATACAATATTTGATTTATACAGTGTAAATAAAATAATAAACATTTAAAATAATTTAAAATAATCAATATATAACAATAAGTCATATAACATAAGTCGATTTCTAAACATATCAAATTGATCTGTTTTACTGCCAACTTTAAAATAATGTTTGTGTAATATTGAAGAAATATTAGAATCTATATATAATTCGAAATGTTTAAAAATCTTCATCATAGATTGAATTTTAATTAATATAAAGCAATAAAGTCATAGTGCGATAATTATTTTTCAAAAGTAGTAAGTTTATTATTTAATACCGTAGTTACGATTTTGTGAAAAGTTATATAAAATAAACATTGACCAAATATTTCTATTAAAATTGTGTATTAAAGTTGTAGTATTTCCCGTACGTAACGTATTTTACCTTACGTATTCTTAAAAATTACAAAATTTTAAGGAATTTGTAGCTTTAATTTTTTTTATATCCTTAATTGGGAATGAATTCTTAAGATTTAACAGTTTTATTAAAACGGTACTTTTGAAACATATTATTTTAATTCAAATAAAAATTTCTATGGCAAGAATAGCGAAATAGTACACAGAAAGTTTCGAAGTAATAACGTCTCGTAATACTTTAGTATATTTTATCTGCATAATAAAAAAATGAATTTCATCTGAACTCTAATTCGTGGAGTTTGTTATTTTTTATAAATAACGGAATATGACAATCTATATCGTGAAGTAAACTGCGCAAATAAGTGGAGTTCTTTTGATAGACTTGTGTCATTTTAAGTTATTTGCAATCGACCATCGTTAAATTCTATTGTGCCGAGAATTTTGCTTCAAGATATCTTTTATTCTTGCGAAATATTAGAATTAGATTACACTTCTGATAATATATCCAATAAAAACATTTAATAAAAATTAATTCTCTTGATCTCGTTGACATTGTCAATGTAATGCAATACTTTGACATAAAATATAAATATCCTTGGATATTCTTACTGACCATGTATTTATGAATACTACATATATTTCCGTGGAAACAATATCCCTTATTGGCAGGTATACTCAATATCCTCGCGGTATTCACCAACGCGAACCAGAAGATGGCCGATTTGACTAGACTACGATCTTAAAGTGATAATCTTCTCAAAGATATCCTATAGAAGCGCTCGGTCAGGTCACTCTATGCGTCAGCTCTTTTGTATGTATATATATTACAGTTTATAAATTCTAATTTAAACTAGGATTTCGTCCTATGTCCCACTGTATTTCAATTCTTGGCCACTTTGTTTGCAGGACCGTCAACATGGGATTACTATCCATGATACATTTTACAGTGCACTCGAGTAATACCGCTTGTCCTTTGTGATATTTCACTCTGTTCTCTGGATTGCTACGCTGTAGACCATTGTAATGGTATAAGACGAACGTATCTGGGCACATGCATGGTTCCTCAGGAAAGAATTCATCCATAAACGATGCGAGAAGTATTATCCCTAAATTTTCACCATCCAGTTTTTTCCTCATGATATCGACGCTGCAAGAACATTTTTATATAAAACATGCTGAAACTTTTAATACAAATAATTTTGCATCGACTCACATGCAAAGATATTAAAAAAACAAATACATACTATTCCGCATCAGCTACAAGCCCTAATTCCGCTAATACATCCTGCAGCAAATTTGCCGCGATAAAATTATTTCCTTCCGGATCAAAGCGTTTGAAAATTCTTCGCGCTTGCTCCGACGGTGTCTCTGGACTTACTAATCGCTTTTCCGTAGAAAAGAGTACAGTTAAATGCGTTTCCGATCCCACCACCCAAATAGGATGCGATGGTGATTTTAAAAATATTCCCACTTCACAATATCGTAAATGCTCTAACAAAGCAAGGAATCCCACCGTATTCTGTTTATCTATACCGCGTAATTCTGCAAAACAATAACGTAATGTATTAATAAAGGAAAGATCAATCTATCAATTCAAAACATATATAGAACTATATAATAGACTGAGATGATAAAGTTATTAAAGAGAAAAAAATCTCACTTAATCCACCAATATCTTGGTCATGATCCCAGACATGACTAACCGCTCGGCCAGTAAGCATTAAATTGATTAAACTTTGGCTTCCATATCCATAAGTAGAATCAATCATGGGCTCTGTGGGATCCGACATTTCAAAGCATATTCCCGAAACTCCTTTTGTACACATTACCGTGTAAAGTAGCAGTAATATACCATACTGATCTTTTAACATTCCAATCCGTTCCGTAAAGAAATCTTCTACATCATCAATACTACTTGTAGTAAATATCCTAGAATCAATGAAATCAAATGACCAAATATTAAAAATTTGTAATTCTTTTGTTAGAAGGTATTTTTTAGTAGAAACGTACCTTAATTGAGAATGAAAAACTTCTGATTCTAATGATGCTTGTTTTGTGACTTGTGTTTCATTAATTTGATTACCTTCGCTAGTATCTTGGACTGAATTTACTGTAAGCTCGGCCGACTTAGAATCGGTGCCTTCCTTGCTAGATACAAACTCATTGGAGTCATTAGCATGTACTACCGAATATTTAGGGTCCTGGACATCAGCGGCTTGGTTTATAATTTCGGTCATGGCTTTCACAAGTAACTGATCACATTTTTCGGTCTTAATAGCCTTCCAAGTTATAACATCACTTTCTAACAGTAACTGCTTCAGAATAAATGCTTGAACTGGGGCTATCACGGCGCAAGGCCCTCCTTCTCTCTGTACAAGCGCAGTAGGTTCATCTATGCTGAAGTAAAAGCCTACAACAGAGATAATTATATATATTTAAATTAATAGTCACATTTAATAAATATATTACTGTATGTACAATATATATATGTCTATTCTTTATCGCTGCACTAAATAGTAAAAAAAATTAAAATTCTTTCTCACTTTTGTCAAATTTCAAACATATTTATTTCATTTTAAATATAATACATTTGTAATACAATATGCACTAGTACATTTATAAAAAATATACTTTACTTCTCTTGCTATCTCTATAATGTTATGTTTCATATTTATTATATAAGAGACACACATGTAGTGGTTTCCAACTTTACATCCATATCGAGTTATCAGCTTTATCAATTTCGTAGAACTATCAGATAAAAGCTCCCGAGCGGATTAATATCGCACCAAAACATAATAAATAAATCTTTTCTGAATTTCACGAAAATAATTACAATCGTCATTACTGATCAACTGGTGCGATGTGATATTATGAATCAGCAAGTTTGTGTAATTCGCGCGTGTGCGAAAAGACGTATTTTATTGCAAAGTAATACTTCAATACCTTGCGCCCATCGCTTGAAAACGTCCTCCTTGACGGTCGAGCCCCAGAGGAGCGTTTTAATATTTTTCAGGAGCTCGTCGTCGCTGGCGATGACATTTTCGGCCATTATCTTCCGGATGCGCGCGATAATACGGGAGATTAAAACGCGCCGTGTGCACGAATCTTATCTGGCGGCGATCATAATACTTTCGGCGCTATTAACTTCGGTAGATCTCGCGGAACTGTCGATCGCATATAGACACCACCCGATAACCTATTTTGTACAACAGACAACTACCAAGTACGCCGCCATTTTGAACCGTTTCGCCTTTATGTGAAGTGCGTTCAAAGACGGGCCGCCCCTCTCCGCTGCGGTAATACGCACTTAAGGCAATCGATATATCGAATGGTTTTGAGAACGAATATTTTCTCGACTACTCGAAAATTATCGATTAAACTTCGATTAACAAGTGTTTGATTTACAAGTGCTTACAAGAATTTTAATTATATAATTCATCGTCCTCTTCCTTCTAATTTTTCTCTTTATAGTTTCTTTTTATATGTTAAGCAATAAAAAATTAACAATTTTATTTATATTAACGAAATACTGTATTTTTTTCGATACATCGGTTATTTATAGAATAATTGTCCAATTTAAATGTCATAACTAATTACAGCAAAATTTGTAATTATATAATTTGTAATCTTTAATTTAATCTTAATTTATTAATAATTTTATTTATGTTAACAAATAGGTATTTTAGTTGAGTACAGGAGTACAGTTGAATACATTTTAATTGACTATATTTTTATTTTTACCATTTATTGACATCAATCTTTTTATCTATAAATTACTTTTAATGTGAGCGATATTTTCTTCGACAAATTATAATAATTTTATCTCCCCTTTTCTCTTCAAAAATGTAAGAGACTTATTAGATCTAAATTGCCTTAATGTTAAATTACCGTTGTATTTGCGTTATATAAAAGTAGAACTGCTTTATTTTTATGTAATTTTCGCATTGCTAATATCCATTGGTTCTTACCACCTTTGTTATTTTGTCTTTGAGGTAATGTATGTTTTTTCGCTCGCGCGAATTACACTTAAGTGATCGTATCTTAATACGATGTGCGCGCATTCTTATCTCGCTACAATAAATAACACCTTTTATGTTTTATACACATTACTCGTTATTGCTCATAATCGAGCATTCTGAGTGAAAGTAAAGCTCGTAAATCCACGGCTGGGCAGAAGACATATCGTGATAGCTCATTTGCGGCACCAAGGAAAGTACGAAAAACATTTCCCGGAAAATTAAAATTTATTTAAATGAATTCGGCTATGTAAAGAAAAAAATGTGAAACTCTTGAAAGAAATTAGAAAATATAATTTCGATAACTTTGAATCACCATTATAAAGCACATTTGAAATCATAGATTTTTTGTTATTTATTTATTTAAACGAAGTTAACTGTATAAAGAAAAAAACATTAAATTCTCGAAAGCAATAATGATAGACAAATAGTTGAATAGTATAATATATTTGATAAATTTGAATCACTATTATAAAAGATCTTTTTATCTTTTTTAATATTCTTTTCATACCTCTTAACATTTTAACGACATACATTTAGAAACATAATTTTCGAGAAGATATATAATCCTCAGTCTCAACAGCATAGGGACACTACGAAAACTTATATCATTTATTTTGATTCATATCACACATCTTCGGAAAAATCACACAAAATCGGAAAGGGCACGTTACATTTCCCTATATTTCCCTAGAAAAGAACGGAACGTCCCGAGGTGACAGTCGATCACGAACTTATATGTACACGTGTGGGGAAGCCATTTGTTTCATAGGAAACATGTTCGTTCGGCGAACAGAGGTGCGTTGACGTCGTTCTCCTTTAAAACACGAGAAAATATTGCGATTTTAGGTGATTGCACTCAAATCTGCCGTCGGACACTTTTCCATCTACCGCGATAAACCGCGGTTGGCGGAATCGTGAAAGTCGATTTCGATCAAACGTATATATCTCCACAGAGAACCGTCGCGGCGGGACAGAAACGAGAGAACTTGCACGTTGGATGTAACGGCGTGAACCGCGCTATTTTCTCCTCGAGCACGCACTTGTACGCTAATCACGTATCGTAATTAGATCCTGCCGGACCGGAGGTCCTAACGAGTCATAATTGCTGGTAGCGCTCGCGAGCGTAATCGCACATACTTTGTTACAGTTCCGAGGTCTTACGACACTTACGAAGCGGAATAGAGCGAGATCCACACGCGGAAGTAAAATCACCGGCTGCTTGCCTACTCTTTGTAAATTTGCCCGCGTACTCGCGTAACGTAATCGCGCATTCGTAATCGAAATGGACGTAGCTATCCGTCGATCCATCTATCGCATGAATAAAATCCCATTTCTTCGATCTTCTAATCCCCCTGATCCTCTTTCCCTCCCTGCCCCCCCCCTCCTGCCATCGTCGCTATTAAGTATTCAAGCGAGAAACTCGATTCAACACTTATGCAAGGCGAGATAAATGATTAGCGTTTCTTTTTTTCTTTTTAACGATGAAAAAAAAAATCGAAGATCAACAACGACCTTCCGCACGGCTTTCGGCTTCGGGGAAGATCCATTCATACGATTTTGTCAGTAGTCACAGAGTAATCAGAGAAAGGTATCTTTTTGTTATATAAGCCGGGTCTCTCCATTGTCAAGTCGCTCGTTCTGTAACCGAAGTTCGCGATAAATGAATGAACGCGCCAGTCACGGGCGTCTTAAACTCCTCCACATTACGCTCCGAAACGCTTCGGGAAGCTCGTTAAAACATTAACATCTCTGATGTATTTACGTCCGGTCACGGTTCGGACGCGATTTTACGCGATCGCGTAAATTTGTACTTCAAGACGCGCTCACGCACGGTCCATCACAGATCGGTGAACCGCGTCGGTTCCGGCCTGCTTTCGCTTTCGTGGTGTCGAAAAGAACGGAACGGAATGAGTCTAGAATCTACACACATACACGCATCACACACACACACACACAATGCGCGCGCGGTGTGTGTGTATGTGTGTGTGTGTGTGTGTGTGTGTGTGTGTGGTGTATGTACAACATACACGCGTACATACAGATACATGCGGTTGTACGTGCGGTAACATTCGTCATATGTATGTCGATATATCTTGTATCATCATAATTCGCAAGCACTCGGAAATATTGCAAGCCGGCGTAAAAGTGAAATGCCGTGGTGGTACTAAGTCAGTGGTATAATAAGAACGGTCTTACGAAATGCCTATAAAAAAATCGGATTATCATTTCTTTAGATCGTGCAATTATTGCTGTTGTACTGCATCGTCGCACAAAGTTATCCCTTGACCAACAAGGTTGGATCATCATTGATGCAATCAAAAACGGAATCGGAGCTAACTACCGAGGAAGCTGTGGCGGATACTACGAATCACCGAATGCGACGACAAACATCTCGTGAAAGGGATTGGAGAAATTGGCTTAATTTGTTTACTTGGTTATTGTCAGATACCACTGACAATCAAAGAGGTAAAAGATTTATATTTAAGAGATAAAAAGAAGAAAAAAGATTTAAGCAGATTTTTTCAAACAAATTTTTTTTTCTTAAAAACAGATTTAAATAAATTTCTTAATTTAAAAATTTTTTAACATGGTTAAAGTGAAAAAAAATATTATTTGATTGATATTTTTAGAATCTTGATCTTATATACAGGTGAAAAGAAAACCGATGATAAAGAGAGCCAATTACTTCGTATGGAGTTCGACATAGATAGCCAAAATGATAAGATATCTATGGCCAATTTCGACGCTGAGGATATTTCGAAAAACGAAGATTCGTTCAATTGTAAAGGTATCTTTATCTTTACATTGCTTTGCCTCGAACTCGATCCAATTCCCATCAAATTAACTATGAAAATGGGAAGAATTAATGAATCATTAAATATTGATTCGATGCCAATGAAACAAGTCGAGACAATATCGAAAGGTAAAAACGTAAGAACAAAGAGATTGGTACATAATCCCGATTCCTATGTTGAACTTGAGCTAAAACGGAACACAGAATTAGCAATGCGACACATACATCTGACGAATTATTCAATTATCTGACAGGACTTTTAATTAACACGTTACGTATTATAAAAAATAATAACATTGTAGAAATGCATATGCTAATAACAAAAAGGATACTTCATTATTTCCTATGGATTTTTACGACTTTCACAAAAATAAGATTACAAAGAAAAAGTTGAAATTAAAGGACATAATAAAGGAATATAATAAATATAAGAAGAATACAAAGTAAATACAGTATATATATATATATATATATATATATATATATATATATATATATATATATATA